GGGAGGAACCTGGAGGGTTACTTGACAGGAGAGGCGACAGAACCGGAGGAGGACTCGGAGGGAAGAGATGAGTGGAAGGCCACTCATATGTTGGTATACATCTGGCTCCTTAACTCGTTGGTCCCAACGATCGCTGCCACGGTAGATGGCATTGAGAAGGTGAAGGACGTCTGGGAGAAGTTGAGGAGGACATATGATGGAGTGGGGAATAACCTGAGGGTATTCCAGATTAAAGGAGAGATCGACGCCACAGTCCAGGGAGAGAGGACTATACAGGAATATGCTACAGAGTTGGAGCGTCTGTGGCTGGATTATGATCATTTTTCCCCCGGGGCTAGCTGCAAGGACCCGGGATGTAAAGAGCGGGAGACCTTTCTACAGGAGAGGTCTATGGTGTTTCTTAAGGGATTGACATCAGAGTTCGCTCAGCGAATCACATTGCTACTAGCTCAACCGAAGATTCCCACGCTTGAGGAGGCTGTCTCTGCTATGATCCAGGAGGAGACTCGCATTCAGCTGCAGGTGGGGACAGGTGGACTTCCTGTGATGAAGTCAGCAATGGTAGCCTCTAGCAACACTGGATCTAGGGGAGAGACTCGACAGTGCTACAACTGCGGCACGGTGGGTCATCTAAGGCATGCTTGCACCAAGCCACCCAAGGAAGGAGGGGTGGACGTGTACAGTTTGAAGGTCGTGGTCGTGGCCATGGGAGTCGACGAGGTGGAAGAGGAGCAGGGAATCGAGCGAATCTGATGGTAGCAGAGGAAGAGGAAGCAACTGAGATGGTCTTTACTGAGGAGGACCATATGCTCCTGGAGATTCTTCGGAGGAAGCAGAGAGTAGCAGGAGATGGGGACAGAAGAAGTGGAACTGAGGAGACATCCAAAGGCAACTCTGCTACTTATGCTCATCCGATCAAATGTACGGATGACATACATGCTCTTGCTTCTATGTCTCCCAATAGACCATCAGAATGGATTGTCGACTCCGGTGCATCTCGACATGTAACGGGCAACGCTAGTGAGTTCTCGTCATACACTCACATAGCATCAGCAGATAGCATCCAAACAGCTGATGGTACATTTCAGCCTGTGGTTGGTAAGGGTACTGTTAATTGTACAGGTTCTGTAACTCTGTCCAATGTTTTGCATGCTCCTTCCTTTCCAGTAAATCTTTTGTCCATTAGTGCTATTATCCTCCAACTAAAATGTATCGTTTCTTTTGATATTCCCAAGGTGATCTTCCAGGAGAAAGGGACAGGACGGAGACTTGGGACTGGCACGTGGAGTAATGGACTGTGGTACTTGGATCGTGAGGGACTGGACTCAGCTTTGGTGTCAATGGTAGAGAAAGCAGGAGTAGGATCTGAAATGAGTGCCGAGAGTGAATTGATGCTTCATCACCAGCGCTTGGGACACTCATCCTTTGGTACTTTAAGTAGATTGTATCCATCTTTATTTGAGAAAGCAAATAAAGAAAAACTTGTGTGTGATGCATGTAAGTTGGGAAAGCTTACTAGAAGCTCTTATGTTAGTTCTGATCATAGGAGTTCTCATGCATTTGATCTGATACATTCAGATGTTTGGGGGCCTTGTTCCACAAGTTCTATGAACGGATACAAGTATTTTGTTACATTCATTGATTGCTTCTCTCGCGTTACTTGGTTATACCTGATGAAGAATAAGAGTGAAGTGTTTGGCTGCTTTCAAAACTTTCATAGGAATGTTCAGACCCAATATGGAGCAGTGGTGAAGGTATTGAGATCTGATAATGGGACAGAGTACACCAACAAAGTGTTTGGAGAATACTTGTCATCTCATGGAATACAACACCAGACTACGTGTCCATACACACCAGCTCAGAATGGGGTAGCGGAAAGGAAGAACAGACATCTTTTAGAGGTTGCTAGAAGTATGATGATCTCCATGAATGTCCCAGAAACATTGTGGGGGCAAGCAGTGTTGACTGCAGCGGCGCTGATCAACAGAATGCCCTCGAGAGTACTGGATTGGAAGTCTCCGTGTGAGACATTGAAAGGAGATAATGGTGGGATTCTTCCACTGAAGGTATTTGGCTGTGTGTGTTTTGTGAAGGATAACAGACCATCCGTCGGGAAGCTTGCCCCTAGAGCGGTGAAGTGTATTTTTGTGGGATATTCTGCTACTCAAAAGGGATATGTTTGCTGGAGCCCGGTGGAGAAAAGGCTGTTCGGCATGGATGTGATATTCTGCTACTCAAAAGGGATATGTTTGCTGGAGCCCGGTGGAGAAAAGGCTGTTCGTGAGCATGGATGTGTACTTTCGTGAATTTGAGCCATATTACACACAGAAGGTACCCTCATCCGTTGGTGACTCGCCCAATACTGGAAGTATGAGGCGAGAAGGGGAGAATGGTGAGAGGCAGATGAATAATGTAGAGAATAATGTGGAGAAATCGATTTCTCTAACGATTCCTTGGGAAGGAGAATTGGTTGAGGAGGAGCAGGAGAATAAAGAAGAAGAGGATAAGGAGACAAGAGGTGTTAGGCCCACGGCTCAGGGGGAGCTACTTACCTATAGTAGGAAGGGGAAGCAACTTGCGGAAACAGTACCTACAGTGCCACTAGTGCCAAGTCCCTTATCAACGCCTGTCCCGACTCCTGAGACACCTACACCACCATCAGATTCCTTCCAAGGTGATATCAATCCTCCCCTTACTCCTCCCACACCAGTATCAGTAAGGAGGACTACTCGCAGCAATGCGGGACATCCTCCCGATAGATATGGTTGGGATCTTGCCCAGTTTATATCATATTCTAATATCCACCCTGCACATGGAGCATTTATTGCATCATTGGATTCTGTTACTGTACCTAACAATTGGCAAGTTGCTAAGAAGGACCCAAAGTGGAAAGCAGCTATGCATTAGGAGCTAAGAGCTCTTGAGAAGAACCGCACTTGGGAGCTAGTAAAATTACCAGAAGGGAAGAGAGCAGTTGGGTGCAAGTGGGTCTTCACTGTAAAGCAGAATCCAGATGGACAAGTTGAGCGCTACAAGGCTCGTCTGGTGGCAAAAGGGTATAGTCAGACATATGGCATCGATTATGATGAGACTTTTGCACCGGTGGCGAAGATGAGCACTGTTCGGACCTTAATCTCTCTGGCAGTAAATGGTGATGAAAGCTACACCAACTAGATTGTGAAGAATGCATTTCTTCATGGAGATCTATGCTTGCGGTATATGTGGGTGATATGATTATTACAGGGGATGATGAGAAGGAGATTGCCCAACTCAAAGTGAGACTGGGTAAGGAATTCGAGGTGAAAGATCTTGGCTTGCTTCGATACTTTCTTGGAATAGAGATAGCTCGAGGAGCGGAGGGAATCGTCCTATCCCAGAGAAAGTATGCACTGGATCTTCTCAAAGAGACAGGGATGTTAGGGTGCAAACCTGCAACTACACTGATCGACCAGAAGTTCAAGCTAGGTGCTGAGGCTGGAGAACCAGTTGATCGTGACAGATACCAGAGGCTGGTGGGAAGGTTAATCTATTTGAGTCACACACGTCCTGATATCTCTTTTGCAGTGAGCGTGGTGAGTCGCTACATGCACGATCCGAGGAAGGATCATATGGACGTTGTGTACCAGATTCTGAGATATTTGAAGAGTGCCCCCGGAAAGGGGCTGATATTCAGAAAAAATGGACATGTGAGCATCGAGGGTTATTGTGACTCAGATTGGGCTAGCTGTGCTGATGACAGGAGGTCCACCTCAGGATACTGTATCTTTATAGGAGGCAACTTGGTCTCGTGGAAGAGCAAGAAGCAGTCAGTGGTGGCGAGGTCAACAGCTGAAGCAGAGTATAGAGCTATGGCCTTGGGAGTCGCGGAATTATTGTGGTTGAAGAATATGTTGGTGGAGCTGAAACTGGATCAAGGAGCAAAGATGAAGCTGTGGTGTGATAACAAGTCAGCCATCAGTATCGCTAATAACCCAGTGCAGCATGATAGAACC